GAGAGGATCAAGATGGGGGCCTGTTCATCTTGTTGAAGTGAAGTACGTGCCTCCTTACCTGCCTGTGAGGCAGCAGTGGAGCTGGGACACTGAAGTGCGTCATTTACACCTAGGAAACTCTTAGCTGAGAAAGACAGATGAACAGGCATGGAAACTCCTGTCCTCCAAATCAGCTCCTTGCCTCAGCTGAGGGCTACAAAGACAAATGTTAAGGGCTGAACAGTGGCCAGGATGGGGCCCAGGAAGAGTGTTGGGCTTGACAGTAGTGCTCTCAACTTCTGAGTGACCTCTCTGGGCCTTACTCTGTGCAACAGGGTAACAGTCCAGACATTTCAGAATCAGTATGACATAGTGAAAGTGTTAGTCGCTCAGTTGTGTCTGACTTTGTGGGACCCTAGGCTCCTCTGTCCGTGGGATTTCCCAGGCAAGAATACTGGAGTGGGTAGTCATTCCCTTCTCTAGGGGAATCTTCCCAACCAGGGGTCAAACCCAGGTCTCAGTCTTTATTGTCGCAGCCACCAGGGAAGCCCAGTATGTCATAGGCACCAGCTAATCAGAATGAAGAAGGGTTTCATTGCTGCAGGTCTCAACTGCAGCTGGCCTTAGCTTTTTAGCTTTTGGATGGGAGAGTGATGGGGAGGACCTGGAGAAAGAGCCAGGGTGTGGGAGTGGGGAGAGGCCCCGGGGAGCTCAGAGAATCTACTATTCACCTATCAGTACAGGATGCTTTCAATATATTGACAGCCAGTGTGACCATATTCCTGCTGAATGTCAGAGCCAAATGTCAGCACTGCTATACCGTACAAGAAACGTGAACTTACTCTCCTTTGTTATGTACCTCTGAATCACTTGGGGAGCTTGTCGAAAACACATATGCTTAGTCCCCACCCCAAAACTACTGAACGGCATCCTGTAGGGCCCTGGCAGGGACCACTATGCTCCTGAGACGTGTGCGCCTGGATCAGCTGATATCTGGGGACCCAGCTGTATGTGGAAGGGGTTTAGAATGCTTCTGAGATGAAGTGGAGCACAGTCTGGAGGGGAACACGCCCAGTTCAGGTGCAGGTCATGTGAGTGAGTGAAGCAGGCTGCTGGGGTCAAGGCAAATTGAAGAGCACGTGTCCATTTCACTGAAATCTTGACCTTGCCACAGCCCCCTCCGGATGGCTGCCCGTTGGGAATGCGGGCCTGGTGTAGATGGACTTTCTGAACGTCCCAGGGAAGCTGGAAGTCTGTGAGTCAGAAATCAGTGATTTCGTTCGGCCTCTCACTGAGTCACAGGTGGGGCCACTGCTTTAAAATCTTCCTGCAGAAGCTCTGTCTATGGGAGGGCGCGGGGGAGGAGGTGTAGCTGGCCCCACGCGAGCCAGGAAGGAGACAGGCTTTAAGTGAGGACCTTGATGCTGTTTGTGTGCCTGCTCAGTTGCTCAGTCATGTCTGACTCTGTGCAACCCCACGGGTTGTAGCCCACCAGGCTCTTCTGTCCATGGGATTCTCCAGGCAAGAATACAGGAGTGAGTGCCATGCCCTCCTCCAGGGGATCTTCCTGACCCAGGAATTGAAGCCAGGTCTCTTACGTCTCCTGCACTGGCAGGCAGGTTTCTTTACCACTAGCTGCTTACGGCGACCATTTCCTCAAGTGTGGTCCTCAGAGTCTGTCCTCACCTGTGCCCCTCCTTCATCTCTCAGGTGTCCCCACCTCTGTTCCTGCCCCAGCAGGGCCTGCCCACAGCAGCTTTCCTTGCACTGAGGTGTCAGGGCCGATCACAGGGTGAAGGCGGGCCTCTTCTAGGGACTCCGAGTCTTGGCTGAGGGTATAGAGCTCTCACAGGAATGTCTGGCTTCAGACGTGAGGTGTTCCACACCCACCTGGGATCCCTGGAATGTTCCACACAGGAGCGGATTCTTTGTACTTGAGGACAAGAGAACTTGACTTGGTTGCTACATTTAAACCCACTGCCAGTGCTTCTTACCCCACTTGGACACCCTTTCTCCCATCCTTTTGCCTGCCTGACTCTTTCCTGTCCTCCAGGTCTCAGCTAGGTTACTTGGTCTCCTTTCAGCACCACAGCCCTGGGCAGGCCCTTATTTAGACTTTCTTGCCTGGAATTTCAATAACCCACTTTCTTAAAAACATTCAAGGCTAACCTTTTTCAGGTATTCACTATGTACCAGCATGACTTCAGTCACTTTATGTTACCTCAGTTAATCACTATGTACCAGCATGACTCAGTCACTTTATGTTACCTCAGTTAACCCTCGCAATTACCCAGTGAGGCTGGCACTGTTATCAAGGCTTTTAAGAAGTCAAGGCCCAGAGAAGTCAAGTACCTTGCCCAGCATCACACAGCGAGCACGTGGTAGATGGGACTGGACCTAGTCTGTGTGCATCAGAGCCGGCAGCTGTAACCAGTGCGCTGTGCCTCCTCTCCATGGTCTGAAGTCGGTAAACTCACAGCAAGGATGCTCTTTTGGTTCATTGAGCATAGTCCCGAGTTAGGCTCTGAAGTTAGACAGCTTGAACTCAGGGTGAGGGCAGCTATCAAACTCGCTCTGCTGCTGTCTGTGGTTACCCTACAAGCTGCAGCTTTCCTAGGCTCTATAATTGGAATAGTTACATTTGCCATATAAGGTTATGGTGGACATTATAGGAGAGGATGTAGTATCCAACATGGTGATGGAATAAATGACAGGAAGTGGCAGTGAGTTCAGCTTCTACCATCCTTTTCAAATCCTCAGGTGACTCAGCAGAGATGGGATTTGTTTCGGAGAGAGGGAATTTGCTGCTGAGGAGGGGGAAGGGGGCTGGATGGAATGGGAGTGGCCAGTCTGGCACTGCTTACAATTCTCAGAAAGGTTACTCTATAGCGATCGTGGGCAATGGGATGAATATTCTGTTTCATTTGGAGGGCATGAATTGTGTCTTCGTTACACTCAAACAACCTGCTTTTCAGCCACAACAGTTAAAAATTAACTGGCTCTAGTGCAACTGAGGCAGAGAGTAAATATTTGGTTGTCTGGGCATGTCACATGTCTGCCGCTCTGGGGGCAGATTGCTAAACTCATTGCGAGTACTTTTTGGGGTAAATATGAGGGGTAGGTACTCATATTTCGAAAACTCATGCGATGCCTGCCTGTCTTGGTGACTTTTCTGCATTTCTCCATCTGGATGACTATTTTCACCTCACTGAATCATGCAGTTGGGGTGACGATTTTGTGGAGTAGACATGGGTCAGTATCTCACAGAAGCACCAGAACATGTTGCCATATTGGCCCTACCAACCCCAAAGGTCTGACATGTGCAGTAGTCCTTGGCAGGATGATGGTTTTGATTGTGTTTTATGAAGGTCTGGAAAAGTCTGGATAATTCAATTTGCCAAGTGTGTGGTTGGTATGTAAAAGATAAATGTTTTTAATCCCAGGATCTTTAAGAACTGTCCAGGGAGAAGGTCTAATTAGACTTGTCTTTTTTTTTTTAAATGATATCCAGGCTTAGGATTAAATGGCATTCATGCACTGAAGTGCCCACATTGATGGGCATGCAATAAATGTTAAATCACAACAATTAAGTTTAATGAGAATTAATGGTTTGTCTTACAGCATTGTCTCTGCTCCCTGGGCTGCCCTTTAGCCTTGTTTACAAGGCTCTGCCTGGCTGTCCCACTCAGTCGGCCCCCATCTTAGTGGGATTGCCTAGCTTTGCAGACTCCGTCCTTCTTTCCCCACCTGCCGAGAATGTCAAGGTCGATCTCCTCCTCTTTGGTCTTCTTCCCTGACTCATTCCCCGACCCCCTGTCTTTCTCTCTCATTCTCGTCATCTCTTCCTTCTTACTCGTCCCAGGCAGAGCCCCCATCTTAGTGGGATTGCCTAGCTTTGCAGACTCCGTCCTTCTTTCCCCACCTGCCAAGAATGTCAAGGTCGATCTCCTCCTCTTTGGTCTTCTTCCCTGACTCATTCCCCGACCCCCTGTCTTTCTCTCTCATTCTCGTCATCTCTTCCTTCTTACTCCCTTTCCTCTCCAAGTTTATTTGTCCAGTTCCTTTTTACAGACACTTTCCTCTAGAAGGGACCCCCACCCAGCTGTGGATTGCCATCTTCCCCATAATATTGTTACCTTATCCTGCAATCCAGGAAAACATCTAGTCTGCCCCAAATAGAAGAAACTAGTGGAAGTGAAGACTGTTTGCAGTGGAAACAGAATGAATATCTAAATTCAAACGCCTTATGAAGTTGTTTTTAAGCACATTGTGTTTTCTTGGGGAAGTCAGTCTAGAGCCAGGGATGAGTGATGGTTCACAGTGCCATACAGGACTCTCTCCATAAGTACATGCTTCCTGCTTATCTACTGTGTAGGGCAGTATGTGGGCAAACAGATTGAGAAGCTTCAAGTATGACAGCAGTCAGCTTTCTCTCTGACCTTGTCTGGAGCAAAGCCAGGGAGCTGACTCTCTTTGGTTTAGAGGGTTCTTGGAATGTTCACAGCATTCATCTCACACCCCTCCCAAAAGTTCTCCCTTGGCAGCCAGGATTGTGACTCAATGGAAGGGAAAAAGATACAGTGCCTACTAGTGGCCTGTATCCAGGCCCCAGAAGATGGCAGAAGCTGTTCTAAGATGTTGAGGTCAAAGAAGTAATGCCAGTATTCTACTACTGTGACCGGCTGAACCCCCCTTTAGAGCATCATAGAAATTCTACACAGAGCACAGCGAATGAGGGGTGCACACTTCACCTGGGACGAGAGTGGGCAGGATGAGCTCCCATTCCTTGGTCTGGGCAGTCATCTTGAGACATCGAATCATTACGTCTGCAAGGTCACCTAGTCTACCTTCCTGGCCAAGGCAGGAGTCCCCGCTCCCACCTGTCCTTTCCTGGAGCTAAACAAGGCAGAACAAGGACCCATGCTCGAGTCCACAAAGAACAGCAGGACGCCCTCAGTGGAGGCATACTATATTTAAATGCAATTCACCTCTTTGGGGTCTAGGAAAAGCCGCCTGTAGACTCATTTGCTGGGAAACGCGGTCTGCGTGGCTGAGGCAGTGGATGCCGGGGTCACGGTTTTGCTAAAGGCTGACTTCCTCCGGAGGTCTGTCTGCTGTCCAGAGTGGCAGCCGCTTCGGTGGGCGAACAGGATGGTCATCTCCGGGCCCACGGGGGCTGCCTCAGGCTGGGACCCCTTTGGGTTGGCTGGCTGTTCAGGCTTCCCGGAGGTGTGGTGTTTGGCGGGAGGAGGGCTGTAGTTCTGAAATCTCACGGTTTTGACTTGCTGTAAGACAGGAGAGCAAAGGGTCATGGCTGAGGTGCGAGAACTGCACTGTTTCCCCCGGGACTTGGCTCACACTGTTCCTTTACCCTTGTCCCTTCTGGGAATGCCTCATTCATGTGTTCCTCCAGCAAATGCTTGTGTCTGCCATGAGGGTCCACCGGGGATCACCACTCTGTCAGGTGCTATGTACAAATCCAAGAGTGAACAGAACTGCCCTGACAGATGACAGGGAGAACCAGTGCTTCCGTGGGGAAGAATAAGATGCTAAGGGAGTGGGTAGGAGTATCCAGTTGAAGCTGGAATGGGGCTTGTCAGGGAAGGCCTCCTAGAGGCAGAGTTATTTCAATCAAGAACTGAAGAACGACTGGGGATTATCTAGCAGAAATAGAAGGGGCAATTACCGACCTAAGAACCCAGGACCTAAGGGTCCTGGGCAATAGGGTATGATCCTTTCGAGAAGATATAAGTTCACCTCCCCTGTCTCTTCTCCACCTGCCAGTAAAGCCTGTCTTGAGGCCTACCTCTTCCTGAGGCCTACCTGCTGACTGCATCACGTTCTGTGATAAACTTATAAATCCTCAAAGCAGAGCCAGCAAACCAGCTCCCTGTCTATGTGGGAGTCACCACCTCACATTTGCATAAGCCTTTCCTCTCTCCCTTCTTTCCTATCCTGTTACAGGACCTGTCTGGTACAATCGTGTTTACCTTGCCATTCCCTGTCTTTTGCTTGTTTGTTTAGTCACTAAGTCATGTCTGACTCTTTTGTGACCCCATGGACTGTAAGCCCTCCAGGCTCCTCTGTCCATGGGATTCTCCAGGCAAGAATACTGGAGTGGGTTGCCATTCCCTTCTCCAGGGAATCTTCCTGACTTAGGGACTGAACCTGCATCACCTGCATTGCAGGCAGATTCTTTACTGCTGAGGCACCAGGGAAGCCCCAAAACTAAACGATAACAGTCACCTAATTTTCTTGTTACCTCCTCCATCCCACCATCCTTCTTTCCTCAAGGATATTACTGAGAACATAATCTGTTTACAGAAATTCTTATGTGTTCTTAAGGAAAAGCCATAACCACAAAGGTCCTGATAAGTCAGTGGAGTAGTTATAACTCTGTGTGACCTTGACAAGTCGCTTACACTCCCCTGTGTCTGTTGCCTCTTCCATACCGTGAACAGGTACACATTGTTCCCTGTGTAAGCCCTTTACACATCTCACTTAGTTTCCACTCCAATCCTGTGAGGCTGTGGCTCTTCTTACTGCCGTTTTACAGATTAAGCAAAAGAATCTCAGAAAGGTGAGATGTTTTAACCGGAGTCACCAGCTAGCAAGCAGCAGAGCTGGAATTCAAAACAACATTGTGTCTGAGGCCAAAGCCATGCTTTTTCAAGTCACCCCTGGGCCTTGAAAGCAGGATGTATGAGATATTCTGGAAACATCAAGGAGATTCAGTAACATGTCCAGGGAGGATGGAGGTGGTATGACGATGTGGAGGGGGTTGTGTGTGAGGATTCCTTTGATTCCTTGTCCATTCAGAGTTGAAATCTCAGGAGCTGGGATACTGTGCAGTTAGGGGTCTAAAGAATCAGGTCCCCCTCATGTCACCTCATGGTCATGCATGCATGTTCAGTTGTACCCAAACCTTTGTGACCCCCATGGACTATAGCCTGCCAAGCTCCTCTGTTCATAGAATGTTCCAGGCAAGAATACTGGAGTGGGTTGCCATTTCCTCCTCCAGGGGATCTTCCCAACCCAGGGACTGAACACACGTCTCTTGTGTCTCCTGCATTGGCAGGAGGATTCTTTACCGTTGCGCCATATCACCTACTCCTACCTTCTCGCTGCTTCTTGAGTTTTCTGGTTTCACCAGGATGGAGGGTGGGGCAGATGCAGGCGGTTTGGGGAGAGGCTCACTCTTGATGGGGATTTCTTTGCCTTCCATGATGAGGGAGCTGGCTGCCGTGTGGATCCTGGTGTCGCTGCCCCTGCTGACGCATGTGAGGGCAGGCTCCCCGGTGGGAGCGGGCTTGGGTCCCAGCTCTGCCACCACCGTGGAGGCTGAGGAGGGGGCCCCCTGTGGCTGGCAGAACTGGAACTGCTGAGGCTGGACCACCATGGTGGGGCTGCGTCTGAAGGAGCCCACCACAAGGGTGGGGATCCCCGACTGGACGGGTCTCTGCAGAGATCCATCTGGGGAATTACAAGACAGAGATATCAGGCCTGGGGCGGCTGACAGCAGCTGGGGGTGGAGGGGGGGGGCTGGGGAGGCAGTGCGTCCTGATATCCCAGAATAGTTAAGTGCTTTCCCAATTGGACTGTGCTCACATTCTCCCAGGGTCTTTCAAAGGTGACCTTATTCTTTTTTTGGTGCTGTTTGCCGATGCTGGCAGCCAGTGACTGGCTAGGTGAATGTTGGTGGGGGGGGTGGTGTCAGAAGGTGTATTACCTCCGTTTGTCCTCTGTCTGCCTCTCTGTCTCTCTTTCTCTCTGTCTCTTTCACACAAACACACATACACACTCCTATGTTCTCCTTCCAGGCCTTTAAGATGGGAAATGAAGAAGACAGTCCTAAAGAGAGGGCTTCACAGTGAGAAGAGAAGAGAAATGTCATACAGACCAAAGAGGACACAAAAGCAGAGACAAAGCAAGTGACAGCAGACATTGAGATCACAAGGATGAGTCAGTTGAGACGCATGAGCAGGAGGAAGAGGGGAGGGGACTCTGACCAGCTTCTTGAAGAAAATTCTGATGGAAGCATTAGGCCTGTAGTCTGGGGACCTCTGCTCTTCATCAGGTCTGTGGGGAGGAAAGCTGAGTGGGATTTAGAGACCATGTATACTGGGCAAATGTGACAGTAGTTGGAAGCAAATCTGGAAAGGCTATTTCCAAGTTAGGGTTGGGAGCGGATGAGCTTCAGGAAGTCCCATGACACAGGCTCTGGAAACTGATCTCTTCTCAAGGAGCCAGGGGCCAGTCAGTCACATCACCTTCTTGCTCCTCGGCCCCCCTGGCTGTAAACTGGAGCTAACAACAGTACCTCATGGGCTGGGGTAAGATTATATTTTATGATGCATGCAAAGAGTTAGGATAGGATAGTGCCCAGAAAATAATAAATGCCCCCATGTTTTAAAACTTTAAAATTTTTTCCTTTTTAGGTAAAGGAGAAACAAACTGTAAAAATGCATGCCTGGTCCAGGAGTTTGGTTTTGCTCCTTTCACTTCCCTGAGCTCATTCCCTTTTTTTTTCTTTCTTCTTTTTTTGGTTTTAACTGAGATGAGCCTCCTCTGTAAAAGGAAGCCATTCCTTCCCCTCAAATTCTCCAGAAGACAGGAGATCCCTACCCCTATCTCCAGGTCCTATGGGTGACCTGGAGAATCAGCAAGTTATTGCACTCTGAGGGGGGTGGTGGGAGAGACACCCTGAGCCGCACTGTGGGTCATTTCTCCATAAGGGCCTCCCAGCATTTGCAGCCATAGCAGAGACGTCAGTCCTCCGTGACACTCTATGGACACGTGCGTGAATCAAAGTTACGTGTGTCCAGCACAGAGGGCCCACCCAAGGCCATGTTCTGTGTCATGACCCTTCATCAGGATGGGTGTGAACATGAAAAGCAGACACTCCCTCAAGAGAGTCAGTATTCTCAGCCACCGCCGGCAAGCCAGCCACCGCTTACACGAGTCTGACCTTTCAATGTCGACATTTATTTTTCCACTGACAGCCCTGTGAGGTGCACATAGTCAATTCTCTGTCGTTTCTCTTTGCTTTGGGGAGATTGATAGCTTGACCAGCCTCACCTTGGGGAAAGGGAGAGAGAGAGCTTCTGGGACCTAGAAAAGTCAAAGCCATGCTGGGCAGACCCGTCCTTGTCCTGTGCTTAGTCACTCAGTCGTGTCTGACTCTTTGCAACTCCAAGGACTGTAGTCCGCCAAGCACCTCTGTCCATAGGGATTCTCCAGGCAAGAATACCGGAGGGGGTTGCCATGCCTTCCTCCAGGGGATCTTCCCGACCCAGGGATCGGATCCAGGTCTCCCACATTGCAGGTGGATTCTTTACTGTCTGAGTCACCAGGGGAGCCCAGACCTGTCCTTAGGCTCTCGGAAATGAGTGAAAAATCAGTTTATTGCCGTATCTGTTTATCTCATGGGTTCCTAATTTCCAAGAGATTGGAGCCTGTTACATGTGCACACAATGCAATCGGTCAAAACTCCAAGATGATCAAGACAGAGGTGAAGGAAGAGAGGCAGTGTCCGAAAGTAAGTGGGAAACATTGCCACGGGAATGTTCTTCTCGGCATTCATAAGTGTGAACATTTCAGCACTAAGTGAACTGATACATTCACATTATGGGTGGGCCTAACATGATCTGCTGAATTGTAAGAGCTCTGATAATACTGGTATGAAACTAACGCTATAAAAGTAGCTCACATTTCTGGAGTGCTTATTGTGTGCCAGGCACAGTGTCGTTACTATTAAATGGATTCTTTTCTTACTCTGATGACGTAGGTGCTATTTTTATTTTCATTTTTCAAACGAGAAAACTGAAGACCCAAGAAGTAAGTACCTTGCCCAAGGCTGTTGTGGTGGGATTACTTATTGTGTGTTTTGCAGGGAGAAGGGGGAGGAAGGCACTGGAGGGTGCAGAAGGGAAACATGATTGGCTCGAATAAGAGGCAAGACTGCTGGGATTGGTAGTCAAGCAAGCGACTGGAAAGCACTGAGAAAGAGTAGAACCAAGATAATTGCTTTAACTTTCTGGGGGCATTTTCCTGTGTGGCATATTGCCCCACAAGTGAATCCTTTGCTCTGACTAGTACTGCATTTTCACCTTTAATCATTTTTTTAAGATCAAAGGAGGGATGGCAGAGTCCGGTCTAAGTCAGGGGATGTAGAACAAATCAAGTTGACTTAGCTTGGCTTGTTGTCTTCTTCTAGAGAGGTGTACAAATATAGAGGTTTGATGTGTTATATAACAATGGGTCTCAGAAACTTTTAGAACCCCCCCAAATGAAGTCTTATGCAGAGGTTCAATATATTAGAAGAGAAAAGCATGACTTTTAAGATGAAGGAAGTTATGTAACTGCCATGTGTGCAATGTGGATGTTATATAAAAATAAAAGCAAGGTGCAGAACAATGTATTAAGATTACATGGTATGCATGTACATGGATGAGAACTTGGGACTGGGGGTGAAGGATTGGAAGGATATATTTGTACAATATAATGTAATTTTGTACAATATAATTTTTAAACTTGTACATATATTAGTTAAAGTGGGATTCAGGGGCTCTTAGCATCAACTCCTCTTTTCCTCCTCCATGCATCCTTCATTTCCATTTTGGTACCCACTGAGGGTTTCCACAGAGCACAGTTTGAGAAACACTGATCCAGCAAGTACTTTGGTCATTCTGTCTTAATAAGAACTAGCATCCAACCTAGGCCATGTTCTAATTATATGTTGGTACTCAGGGCTGGTATCATCCCAATCAGTGTGTATGTATGCAGTGACTGAGGGCTGTGACCCTGAGATTGTCTGGCTTCATCTAATAAAACAACTTGATATTTGGGAAATGTAAAGCAACCTTAAAGCGAAGATCCTTGTTTTTGCAAAAAAAAAAACCACAAAACAAAACCCCAAAACCACTCTGTTTGCCCAGAGTGAGATTGCTCCCATCCCTTAGGTCTAGGCACGTACCTCTCTGCCACCACTTACTCTTTCTCATGCTACCTCGTCCTTTGCGGAGAGAGCCCTGCTCCAGGGTCCCCAGGCTGGCTGGGCTCCGCACAGGGTTGACTATGGCCGTGGGCACGAAGACGGACTTGAAGGGCCGGCTCTGCCGGGGATCACTTTCTGAAATACTGCCTTGGGAGGACACAGAGGAGGTGGATAACGTCCATGTGGTGTAGAGACCAGGACTTCGGGAGTCTGGAACGCTAGATGTCTTTCTGGTTGTGCAATTTTTTTTTTTTAAAGAAGAAATAGAAAAAGAAAAAGTTCAGTCAAGAGTCCAATCATATACCACAGTCAGCTCCCAACCATATACCACCTGTGGCCTCTCCTCACCTACTGCTACCCATATATATACATACCACACAGAGTCTTACCTACAGAGGCCTCAGCTCCCACACCTGGATAACTGTGGGTGCGCTGAGGGAGGGAAGAGGTCTCCTATTGAGTCCTGGTGGGACAAGAAGATTTGAATTTCATCTTCTTTCCCTCCAGCTCTGATCACTCCTCATCCCATGTTCCTTCAGCCCTGAGTTTAGAGCATAATACCTTGTATGTGTTCATCTCACTTTGGAGGGGCAGTTTCTTGTTTGTTCAGTGACTTGTCCACTAGATTCTAAACTCTTTGAAGGCAGAGATTTTATATGACTTATTTTATATCTTCTGTGTTCTGCATATAGTGTTAAAGTGTTGAATGGCTGCCATAATGCACTTAGCACTGAAGCCATTTTGTGTCACACATATTGAGCACTTAGGCTCAGATGGTAAAGAATCTGCTTGCAATGCAGGAGACCTGGCCTAGATTCCTGGGTTGAGACAATCGCCTGGAGAAGGGAATGGCTACCCACTCCAGTATTCTTGCTTGGAAAATTCCAGAGGAGCCTGGCGGGCTCCACGGGGAGTCCATGGGGTTACAAAGAGTTGGACATGACTGAGTGACTAATACTTTCACTTTTACTGTATGTCTGGCGTTGGCCAAGTCCTTTGCCCACATTATCTCATGGGTTCTTCACAACAGCCTTCTGAGTTAGCAACTAGAAATACTACTGTTTTGTAGATTAAAAAAATACAGATTTACAGTTATTTGAGATTTGAACCTAGGTCCAGGCTGGCCCTTGTCACCCATGCTCTTATCACTGAGCTACACTACCTTCTGGCTAGTCAGAGCATTCATCATTTGGAAAACCCTGCATCCTGCTTGAAATAAACAAACCAAAGGAGCTGGTAGGCCCTACACATGCCTCCACAAAACCTAATCCTTTAGCCTTAGGCTCTAATTTTTAAGACTAGTATTTAAATTTTGAAAACAGCAATCTCTTGCCCGTCGCTTTCCAGCCTGCAGCTCCCTGAACCCCGTGGGGAATGGCTGTCACTTTACACGCTCCTCTTGTCCTTGTCCCATCCTACCCCCAACATCACCACCCCAGAGGAGTAGTCCATCAATCACCTTGTCACTCTGTTGATTCAGTAACCTCTGCTAATTCCCTGAAGCTAATCAACTCAACCAAGGTCCTGGCACAAAGATGTCTCCATGTAGTTTCCTTCCTGTCAATGCCTCCAGGTTTCTCTTTAGGTAATTTCCTCTTATTTCTCCTTTTTCTCTCCCTCTTTTGCTTAAAAAAGTGTATGTGGTTTAATAATGAGCCACCAGTATTGCACGAGATGGGAAAGGCACCACGTAACGTGGCCAACTCTGCCCCTGCAGCATATGCGGCCACGTGCCCTGGGGACACATGCTTGTGGTGAGGGGGTTTCTGGCCACAGCTTTTATTCTCCTCTGGTCTCTTGGGATGCAGTTAGGGAAGTGGAGTGGGCTGGCCACCAGTCAGAGCTCAGATTACATTCTGGAGATGAGGGCTAGGCTGAGAGAACTCCCCAGCTCTGGCTTTCACTGCAGAGTCTGCATCTGCCTGTGTTTTAAACAAAGACCTCAAAGTGTAGGATGCTGCAAAATGGACCAGCAACAGGGAAGACAGGTTCCAAAATGGGTGGCAGTGGCAGCAAGTACAGAAAACAGTTATTGAGGCCTGAGTCAAGCTTATTCCATCAGTCCTTTCTTTGGACAACTGTTTACAGACTGAGGTGCAACCTCATTTTTCTGGGCCCAGCACGAGGCTGGATTCCAGAAACTCCTAAATTTCAAGTCCCTTTCCCAACACTGAACCCCTCTATGTTTTTTGGCAAAAAGGTCAACATGGGCTTCCCTGGTGGCTCAGGGGCAGCAAGCGAATCTGCCTGCCAGTGCAGGAGACCTGGGTTTGATCCCTGGTCGACGAGGGAGCAACTGAGCCCAAGTGCCACAAGTGCTGAACCAGTGCTCTGGAGCCCAGGAGCTGCAGCGACCGAAGCCTGAGCACCCTAGAGCCTGTGCTTTGCAACGAGAGAGGCCACTGCAATGAAAAGCCCATGCACCACAACTAGAGTGACTCCCGCTCACTGCAACTAGAAAAAAGCCCAAGCAGCAACAAAGAAGACCCAGAGACCCAGCACAGCACCCCCCCCCAAAAAACAACTCAGCACTTACCCAGCATGTTCTTCTAACAGCAAAATGCTTTGCTAACATATATTCATTAATCCCATGACACCCGAGATCTGCAGACGTTATGACCCCTGTTTTCTAGATGGAGAGACCGAAAGGCATTCTGGGTTTAAAGGGGAGGTGAGTGTGTTGCCTCTGATTTGCTGCACTGCGCTGCTTTGAGTGTGTTCCCCTTTCTACCTGAGATACAAGTCCTTAAGAGCTTGTGCAGTACATGAAAGGGGCATGACACATGTGCCGTCTACCCTGCTCAGTGGTGGCAGGAGCCTCTTGGTAAGGCAAGAGCTTGCTCTGTGACAGTCTTTATACAGTTCTGTGTAGCAAGTTAAAGGCCAGTGAGTGGTGGCCCATCTGTCACTTTTCTCTACCCCTTAGGCAACGGGATGGCATATGAGTCTGCTGAAGGCTGCCTGAAAGAGAAGTATCCCGGCTCACTGGGCAGAAAGGCGTTTATTGGGAGGACAAAAAGGAGTGGAAAGAGCTTGGAAACAGGATTCTAGGGAGGCTGCTGGGAGTGGCGAGGCAGGAGTCTGAGGTGGGGAGATTCTGATCAGGGGCTGCTACTTGAGTGCCCGCCGTGAACGGCCTTCAACTTCGCCCATCTGCTTCCCTCCCTTGTTCCTTCCTTGATCCCATTTCCAAGTTCTGAGAGGCTGAGCCTGTCCCTCAGCTGGTGATGAGCTGAGGAGGCTCGGGAGGAGAGGGAGGCGAGAGGGAGAGTGAGGAGGAGGAGAAGGAATGGGGAGGAGCTGGTTCCTGCAGCCTCTAAAATGGGAGGATACAGGCCTCCACTGAGACTAGGTGTGGAGGAGGAAACCCAAAAGCATGCAGGTGCTGCTACGAAGGGCCTGAATGAAAACGTGGCAAGTGCTGTGTACCCCCGACCCATGGGCTATCTCTGGGATCTGGAGAATAGGTCATGGTGGCAGAGATCTAGGGGTGGTCAGCACAGCTGGACAGGCTGGCGTTCCCCTCGAGCACAGAGCACTGGGGCTTCACACGGCACAGCAGCCTCTCCTCTTTGGTAATTCAAAGGCTTGCTTGCTGAACCATAAATCAAAACCCTGGCATTTTGGTCAACTCTAGTCTCTCAGTTGATCCCCAGACTCTGTCTGGCTCAGTGCATTAGAAGATGATGCTGATTAAGAATGAAGGTTCAAATCTCAGGGGGCACCTCACACCTTGGAGGTCTGGCTGTCTTAGAAAAGGCAGTCCTGTACACCATGGGGGCTGGAGGTAGTGCAGAGCCATCCCTGCAAACACACAATGAAAATGGGGGAAAACCTCTCACCCACACAGAACCGAACAGCAGAAAGGGACCTCGTGCATGTAGTCCAACCCACTCAGTAGCAGAAACTCTGCTGACAAAGGATGGCCTCATTCAGCCCTGAGAACTGGGAGGAGCCAAGCCTCCCGCAGTGGGAAGGGTTGTTAAGAACAAGGGTGAGCTGCCCCCAGATAGACAAACTGAGCATGTCATCTGCATCCAAGGTTTCGGGGATGGAAACTTTCTCTGCATCTGGGAGGCTGTCAGAGAAAACACACACACAGGGAAAGCATGGATCTGCTGTCAACTAATAGCCCTAAGGAGATTATACTGTGACAGTGACTTTCCTTTCCGGAAATGCTGATTTCCTGGAGGCAAACACTCCCATCAGCATCAACAGCATCTCAATATATGCACAGAGTCAGGTTTCTATGAGCCAGGGGTGGGGAGGGACTCATGGCCACCTACGGTGCTGCTGAAGATCCATCCACCATCTGACACACGGCCACCTCGGATACAGTGAGTCCAGAAGCTCATCATTTGCCCAAGAATAGATCTACCTTGGAGAAAAGCCAAGGAGAGAATAGGAAGCTGGAGCCTTGAGCTACATTGGAACAGAGTCCCATGTGCATTCAGTTAGGGTGATCTTAAGTCCAGGTTTTCCAAGGAGAGTTTGTTTACACCTGCTCTCCTGGCAGTGTCCCTCTTCTATCTCAAAAACGTCCTAGTTTGGATGATGAATTATACAGTGACTCTTACTTTAGTGGTTTTTTTATGGAATAATCAGGACTTCGGGCTAAGGCCTGATGCAAATGCCCCAGTAGAGTAGTAGAGATGACCCTAGAGAGTTCACGATAGTTTCTTCCGTGGAAGACTATTCGTGATTTAAGGTAGGTGTTTGCTCTTCCCTGTCACTCCTGAACTATCCTCCCACTTTCCTCAAGACTTCCCAGCTTGGAGTCACAAGAACAGACTCTACCATCTCCTACTCTGCCTTGTTACAGGCATTACTTTCCCTGTTTCCTTGGGGAATTAAGCTCCCAGCTCACGGTCATTCTCTCCACCACAATGGATCCTACCTTGATGATTTCATCTAGTCTTTGGGCTTTCATCTTAAACCTAGACTTCTTTCTTAAATGCTAGACTTGTATACGCAACCATTTACTAGGAATACTAAGGCATCTGAGACAATGTGCTGCAAACCAGGCTTTTGCTTCCCCTCACTAACACCTCAAGACCTGTTGTTCCTCTTTTGGATTTCAACTCCATCTCAGTAAAAGGCAACCTTGTCTTCAGTTACTCAGGACCCACTTTGAATCCTCTCTTTTTACATTCAGAATTGGATTTGTCAGAAAATCCTGTTGTTTCTACCTTTAGAATAAACCAAAATCTAGCCACAGCTCCTTCCCTCCCTCCACAGCCAGCACCTTCATTCATTTCACCATCAACGTCCCCGCCCTCCCCCAACTCCCACCCCCCCCCCCAGATTCTTACCATATCCGCTTAACTAGTCTCTCTGCTTCCACCTTTCCTGTCTACAGTGTACTCTCAACCCAGCAACCAGAGGGGTTCTGATTACAACACAAGATAGGTCATGTCACGCTTCTGCTCCAAGCCCTGTAACATGGTTGAAGTCATATTCCTCATTATGACTGAGCAAATTCTGAATCTGAATCCCTGTTACCACTCTGGCCTCATCTCTTAGGAGCCCCTCTCACTTCCCTAATCCAGTCCTCTCGGCCTTCACGTCAGTATGCTCCTTCCCCAGGGCCTTTGATCTGTTCTTGCTGTTCCTTGGGCTTCCCACATCCCTTCCTTCTTCCTTCTCACTGCTCTGCCAGGCCACCCCTGACCAAACTATTAACATTGTAGTCACCCCCACGTAAATTCTATCCCCCTTTCCTGACTTATTTTTTCTTCTTAGACCTTATCAGCACACCACTTACATTCCTTATACATCTTATTTATTTTCTGTCCCTCCCACCAGAGCATAAGCTCCAGTGGGCAGAGATTTCTGTGTATTTTGTTCACTGGTGTTTCTCCAGTGTCTAGAAGGGTGCCTGACATACTGTGCTCAATATATATTTGCTGACTAAATGGATTAAAGCATCAGGTATAGGCATCCTTAGTTTGCCTTTGGAGATTTTGCAAATGTCTAACAAATTCCAAGAACCACTGAAGGGCGTAACTCTGACCCTCTATTCCAACTTTCTGGCATGCAAAGAAATCTTTTTGTCTGGATGTATTGGTACCCACACTTTGCCTGTATTCTATCTAGGAAGGGGATCCGCCACCTCAATAAACGCAAGTGCAGTCGTTTACTGAACCAGAATCTTCTAAGCTGTGTTCACTGGTTCGCTTTCCCCTGAGGGAACAAGCCTACTTCCTGGTCTATACAGTCTATTATGGTCTCTCTGACCTTGTCTTCTGCACTCAAACAATCCTATTGTCCTTCTAGGTTTATCCAGCGATGCAGCTTCTGTTTCCTCACCATTGCAGCCCTCCTGTGGACACACTGCCCACCTACAGGGAGGTCCTCCAAACTGGCCATATATGACTCCTTCTCTGCCCCCATAGCGAACAGTGGGATCATCCCTTTCCTTGGAGTTATGACTCTCTGGTATGTCATAAAGGTAGTGTTTATGTGTGGTAAGGGGCTTGGGACCTTGTGATAGGCTTTGCCTGGACTTATAGGGGGTGGAGGCAGCACTGGACTTACAGGAGGCGCCATGGATACTTTCGGGGGGGCCTGTGTGTACTTGTGGAGTATGAGGTGGCTGGACAAACCACGCAGCAGTGCAGTTGATGAATGTGCCAGAGAATGAAAACGGCTGGGAAAAGCTGTTTGGAAAGAAGACCTGCAGGGTAACTAGCACATGACTGGGCGGTTGGATGTACGGGTAGTGGTCTGAGTCACGAAAACTCTGCCTAATGGCCCCACATCCTGGGAAGTCTCCCAAGGTGCTCCTAGAGGTCTTCTGATCATTGGGCTTTCCCATTGTGCTACGATTATGGAGTGTCTGGGTGAAGACAGTGAAGTGTGATTTGTGGGGGTTGTACGGTAGAATTGAAATCTAGTTCTTGAGCAGGCTGGTTAACTGCACATCACTTTCATCATCTGTAAAATAATGCCCACCTATTGGGATACTTGAGCATAGCCAAAGAGTTAAAAGATGCAAAAGCATCAATACTTGTAAAATGTGAAGAGCTATTTAAAAGATAACTATTTTACTATTTTTTTAAAATTAATCATTAGGAGGATAGTGAAGCAAAAATTGTTTCTTGGCCCACACTCGGAAAGGATTGAGTCCTTCAGCCATTCAACTCAGAGATGGACTCTGGACTAGATGATCCAACCCTCTGATGCCTGAGATTGGAGAGGACGCACCTGAAAATGGGGATGACGTAGTTGTTGGGGAAGATGCCGACTCGCCCGGTTACCAAGGAGACGCCCCTGAGCCAGCCGTCCTGGTACTTGCCCAGGACCCTGATGCCCTCTCCCTTCTGTAGGTCCAGTTCGTCGGGTCCATGGGCTGAGTAGGAGTGCAGAGCTACAAACCTGGGGAGACGCAGGGAACTGGTGAAGTACGCTGGTGAGTGTGCCTAGTGGAGGGCATGGAACCAGCAAAGGGTGAAGGGAGAGGAAAACTCAGAGTCCATGACCCAGTGGTTAGCACTAAACATCCTTTAAGAATTGAAACCTCACTATGTAAGGCAGATGGAAACGGTGGAACCTTGTTGAAGTTGCAGTGGAGGGGCCCAAATCCCTGCCCCCTTCATCTCCTCGCTCATCCATAGAGTACCCCGAAGCTCCAGGTCACTCACTGAGGTCACATCAGCATTTTGACATTGGGGAAACTGGCCGAGAATAGAGAAAGGAGTTGGTGACCAGGAATCAGTGGCAGAGTCGGGTCAAAAGCCTGAAAGTGATGGTTCTATCTAGGATGCTTGTTCACACTGCTTAGAGTACCCTCAAGACAGTGGTCATAGACATCAAGGTTCAGGGAACCGAGGGGTCAGCATAGAAGCCTCTCTGATCCATTCCCTCTCCTGAGGGTAGTGACGTGTCTAACCCCCAAGATGCTAGCTTAATGTAGGCAGGAGATGGACGTGGGGAAGTGGGAGGCAAGGGTTAATTTCATTGTTTCGGCACACAGTGGAGTGAATATTGGCTGCATTGTGGGATGGAGGAGAATGGGCTTGAAACGTGGTAGAAATGTTCTTGGGTTGGAGCAGTGACTTTCCACTCTGGAGTCCACATAGTAGGTTGGGTAGGTAACATCCAGGTATGAGCTTGGGGTGAAGACCCTGGGGAGTAGTTAGGCTGTGGAAGGAGAATAATTACCCAACTAAAGGCATTAAAAATAACCCACTTTGGTTTCCCCCGTTTGGGGTTAAAAGTTTATGGCTTCGAGCTGGATAGACGCTAAGGCAGCAGTTTCCAACCTTTTTGGCGCCAGTGGGATGGTTTCAGGATGATTCAAGTGCACGTTCAAGTGCACAAAGTACATTTATTGTGCACTTTGTCTCTATTATTATTATAGCAGCTCCACCTCAGATCATCAGCATTAGAGCCCAGAGGTTGGGGACAACTGCTCTAAGGACTTGGAGGTACTGACAGGTTTTATCAAAGGGGCTAGGAGAATGTTCTCATCTGCAAGATTTCTTTCCCTCCTGAAATGTTGTATTTATTTCTCACTGATACAGCGGCATCTATTGATGGCCAAGCATTGTGAATCTAAACAAAGACAATAGAAATCACTCAGTACCCAATCTCCCTGTAGGGTTTTGGTACATAAACTAGTCTCTTTCTGCTTTTGTAAAATAATGAGCCAGGATGATGTAGTTTGGTAATTTGTATTTTTCATTATTATTTCCTTTGGACATTGTAAAGGAAGGGAAGCTGTTGTTTCTCTGCATGGGATGGTTGGGGACGGGGGATGCTCGATGACAGAGGGATGGCAAAGATGACCCCTCTGTGCCAGGACCAGGAGTGGAGGGTTGAACTCATTTTTTTTTTTACTCACATGTTAGCTGAGAGGTGTTGCTGGGAGCCAGGAAGACTGACAATGGCTGTGGAATGTCCTGCGGAGGCAGGTGCAGGGTGATAGGTGCTGACCTGCAGAAACAGCAAGCATTAGGAGCCAGACCCACAGCAGAGCTGCTGCAATCTGACGCAACTGAAAACCAACAGGCACGCCCAGCACCACCCATCGTGTGCCTTTTTCTCTGTGGTTTGTGGCTGTGGGCAGAGCAGAGTGGTGGTGGATTGGTTTATGGTCTGCTGAGGTGGTATGCCAGGGTCACATTCCGAAAGACTGCTCAGATAAGGCCTGGGATGAAGGCCTGTTCGACTTACAGCCAACAGAGCACTGCCAGGCTCTGCCTTTTGTTCCCCCGGCCCCTCTCCACCCATTTCCTAGTGCACTCACCTCCCTCTAAGAAAACCTGTTCGCGAAAAATGATACGATGGCTAATGTTGAGAACGCTCGCCAGGCAGTTTTAAGTGCTTCGTAAGTATCAGCTAGTTTAATCCTTATTAATGGTACTAGTATCATCCCTATTTTTGAATGAGAAACTGAGGGAAAGAGAAAAGTCACTCAACTAGAATGAACCAACATTTAAAACCAGGTACTCCAGGTCCTGAGCCCATACTCTCACTAATGTTAGTATTAACACACACACACACACACACACACACACACACACACCAGTCTATCCTGTGACTTAGTGATGGTGAATCTGCAACCTCTTCACTTTTCCAGGCTGAGAGAGGGGGCAAAAATTCTAAAAGCATCTGGAAACTTCCAGCTATCCTGAGGCTTCACTTATTATCTAATGTCTTACCTTGCTTATTTTCTTCTTGGCACATATCACAGACTGTGATTGTTTCCTTGTTTATTTACTGACCATCCCCCATCACTAGACTACAAGTTCATGAGGAAGGGACTACATCTTGTTTATCTTTATGTTTCTTATATGCTTAATATGTTACTTGTAACTTAATGAATGAATGAAAACATCTTTCTACCCACTACATCAAATACTAATGAAAGCTCAACTATCTCCATGCCATCCAGAGTAAAAACATTCAACCAGTCTTCAGTTATCTACCTTTAAGTGATGGTAACTACATATATGTGCCTTTTTAGGACTGTGCTTTGTGGGTACAACTATTATTTGCAGAATGTGTGTTTGAGTAGTTGTGAATCCATTACTTGAGTATGTATGTACAAGTGTGTATGTTTATTCAGAACCTGTGACAATTGTATGTACATGTTTGATGGCACTGGTCTATTGTATGTCTTATGTTCATGCATGTGGGTCAGATAAGCATGTATGCTATGTGTGATATATGTATGTATGGTTGTGAGTGTCTATCTGGAATTCTGTGTATATGTCTATGAACTCTAGAGGTGTGTGCAAGAAGACATGGATATAGTTTTATATGTGTGTCTGTGTCAATGACTGTATAAATGTATGTATAGTTGTGTATGTATGTGTGATGTTTCAACTCAGTCATAGGATCAGAAAACCATTCCAGTTAGATAGTAAGAAGGGTTAGCAAGAGTATAGAGAAATCTAAACCCTCATACAGTGTTGGTGGAAATGTAAAATGGTTCCAGCCTTTTGGAAAATAGTTTTGCAGTCCCTCAAATAATTCATAGATTTACCATATGATTCATTGAGTCTGACATTCAAGAGAAATGAAAACATAAATCCACACTAAAGCTTGTATGTGAATTTTACAGCAGTATTATTTATAATAGACAAAAGGTGAAGATAACCTAAATGTCTACTGGCTGAAGAATGAATAAAGAAAACATGGTATATCTATACAATGGAATAATATCTTTACAATGGAATATTATTCAACCACAAAAGAAATGAAGTATTGATAAATACCAGAACATGGATAAACTGTGAAAACATTATGCTAATTGAAAAAAGCAAGACACAAGAAACATTACATAGTTCTGTTTATATACCTTAAATGGGTTAAATGTAAAATATATTTTATGGTATGTAAAATATGATATGGTATATAAAATATATTTTAATAAGCTTTTGAAAAAGTCCCAAACCATATGATTATCTCAATAGATGTATGAAAAGCTTTTTACAAAGTTTGACATCCATTATGATAAAAACTCTCCAGAAAGCAGGCATAGAAGGAACATACCTCAACATAATAAAGGTTTGCCATATATGACAAACCCACAGCTAGCATCATATTTAATGGTGAAAAGCTGAAAGTATTTCCCCTAAGATCAGGAATAAGACAAGGAGGTCCATTCTCACTAGTTCTGTTCAACACAGTTTTGGAAGTCCTAGCCACAGTACCGAGAGAAAAAAAGAAATGAATCCAAATTGGAAAAGAAGAAGTGAAACTGTTACTGTCTGCAGGTGACATGATACTATACAGAGAAAATCCTAAAGACACCACCAGAAAAACTACTATAGCTCAGAGCTCATCAAGAGCTCTAGTAGTAAAGTTGCAGGATACAAAGTTCATATACAGAAATTTGTTGCATTTCTATATGCTAATGATGCAAGATCAGAAGAAGAAATCTAGGAAACAGTCCAACTTGGTGGGGAATCAATATTATTAAAATGACCACACTACTTAAGGTAACCTACAGATTCACTGCAATCCGTATCAAAATATCAAAGGCATTTTTTTTAACAGACCTAAAATAATTTAAAAATCTATATGAAAACACAAAAGACTCCAAATAGCCAAAACAATCTTGAGAAAGAAGAACAGAGCTGGAGGGATGACAGTCCTTGACCTCAGATTATAGTACAAAGTTACAGTAAAAAAAATGGTACTGGCACAAAAACAGACACACAGATCAATGGAACAGGTTAGACAGCCCAGAAATAAATCTATGTACTTATATTCAATTAATCTATGACAAAGGAATCAATATACAATGGAGAAAAGACAGTCTTTTCAATAAATGATGCTGAAAAAACTGGTCAGCTACATGTAAAAGAAATTAGAACATTGTCAAATACCAGGTAGAAAAATAAACTCAAAAGGATTAAAGACCTAAATGTAACACTGGATACTATAAAACTCTTAGAGTACAATATAGGCAGAAAGCTCTTTGATATAAATTGTAGCAGTATTTTTGGATCTGTCTCCTAAAGTAAAGGAAATAAATGCAAAAATAAACAAATGGGACCTAGTTAAAAAAGTTTTTGCACAGCAAAGGTAACCATTGACAAAATAAAAAGACAGCCTACTGAATGGGAGAAAGTATTTGTAAATAATATGACCAGTAAGAGATTAATATCCAACATATATAAATAGCCCACACAACTCAACATTAAAAAAACAAAATGATATGATTAAAAAATGGACAGAAGAATGGAATAGACATTTTTCCAAAGAGGAAATGCAGATGGTAAACAGGCACATGAAACAGGCACATGCTCAACACTGCTAATCATTAGGGAAATGCAAATCAAAACCACAATGATATATCACCTCATACCAGCCAGAATGGATGACTATCATCAAAATGAACACAAATAACAAATGTTGGTGAGAATATGAAGAAAAGGAAACCCTCATACACTATTGGTGGGAATGTAAACTGGTGAAGCCACTGTGGAAAACAGTATGGAAGTTTCTCAAAAAACTAAAAATAGATCTAACATATGACACAGCAGTTTGACTCCTGAGTGCATGTCCAAAAAAACCAAAAACATTAATTTGAAAAGATACTCTCACCCTAATGCTTACAGCAGCATATTTTACGATTGCCAAGATATGGAAGCAATGTAAGTGTACATCAACAGATGAATGGATAATGAAGATATGGTACATATACACACACAATGGAATATTACTCAGCCAGTAAAAAAGAACAAAATTTTGCTATTTGCAAGAACATGGATGGACTTGGAGGGCATTATGCTAAGTGAAATAAGAAAGAGAAAGACAAATACTATATGATATTACTTAACACCCTTTTCGCTGTATAACTCTATTATCCAAATCTCATCACTACTGCTGCTTTCTTGTGATTTTTTTTGGGAAAATGTGTGTATGCATATACCAACATCATATATCTGTATCTGTTTATTTTTTAATTTATAGAAAAATGCCACATTATGGACACTATTGTTTTTTCCTTGTATTAATACATTTTTAAGATTTTGGGGGCTTCCCTGGTTTCTCAGTGGTAAAGAATCTGCCTGCAATACAGGAGATGTGGAAGATCCCCTGGAGAAGGAAACTGCAACCTATTCCAGTACTCTTGCCTGGAAAATCCTACGGACAGAGGAGCCTGGTAGCTGACAGTCCATGCGGTTGCAAAAGAGTTGGGACATGACTTGGTGACTAACAACAACAATAAATAGTGGAATCTAAAAAATACAACAAACTAGTGAATGTAACAAATAGAAGGCAGACTGACAAATACAGAGAGCAAACTTGGGGCTGCCAGTGTGAAGAGTGGGGAGGAACAATATAGGGGTGGGGGAGTGGGAGGTACAAGTTATTGGGATATAAGATAGGCTACAAGGATGTATTGACAACATAGGGGATATAGCCAATATTTTGTAATAACTGTAAGTGGAAAGTGACCTTTAAAAATTTATTTAAAAAACCCCCCAAGACATTCCTTGGTCATCCATCTGAAAGTCTCTAATACTTCATAAAGTGTTGTGCACTTTGCAATCAAACATTGTCACACTGGTTCCCTCAAACAAGCTGCCGGCTTTGGGCTAGGCTGCTCCTCCCCTGCGACTGGGCAAGATATAATCCTTCTGGGATTGGGAGATGTGCCAAGGGAGAGCCTCGTTATGTGAACAACTAATCTTATGTTTGTGAAGGCTGTTGGATCACTGATTAAGCAGGATGAACTTCACATAACACCTGTGACTTTCCATTCTTATGCTTGAGTAAAAAGTCCTACTGTCCTAGGCACTATTAATCATTTAGGGAGGAGGAAGATGCCAGAATGCAAAGAAAACCATCCCTCCATTACACCTAAAGAAGTTCTCTTTTTACTTCTTTAGGTCTTCAGCTGGAGAGGTGGGTATTTCACTCCTAATTGGAACAGGGAAACCTGCCAGAACTGAAATCACTGGGTTTGTGTTGGA